TTCTCTCGTAAGGCTGCGCAGGTCGCAGCCGTCTCCCAGGTCGAGTTTCGCGCAAGTCGCCAGTGGACCTCCGCGGGCCTCATCTTCGCGCAACTCGCAAGGTTCTATGCCCCATACCAGAAACCCAGGAAAAAAGCCGCGGCAATGACTTGCTCTAAGTCCGCGGCCTGGCAAGCGGGCGCGGAAAACGCAACCCGGAAACGAAAAATGGCTCCAGTCGCGAGTGCATCAGCGCCGGGCGCCCAGAATTTGGGAGATCTCTGGCGCGTCGACGGCGATATCCGTGAACAGCTGCGCGAGCAGGTTCTCCGTGCCCAGTCCTGACGGGGCGTCGCCGATTTTGCCGTGGACGTCTTCTGCATTCTTGTCGTGCTTGACGGGCGCGCGGCCTTGCTTCTGCGCGTACGAGCGAGTCGCGGCGCTCTCGTCCGCATGCGTTGTCCAATGGTCGGTAGCCTCTGTCGTGCTTGCCCTGGCGGTTTCCTTTCGAACTGCGCTTGCGTACTCTTGTTAAAGATGATCCGAGTTGAATCGTGATTGTCGGGCAGACAAACAGCCCGAGTTTGAGAGGACTGGGCGTTCGACGAGGCTGTCGAAGCCTGCTCGCCCAGCATAGCAGCAAGGTAGATGAACAACTCATTTTAATCTGGCCAAGACGGCTCACCAATTCCAAGTGCAACTGAAAACTGACCTCGGCCTTCATCCTCTATGTGCCGCGCGGTTCTGGCTGTTTATACTGCTGTCGCGACGGAGATGCTGTCGGGCGGCCTGCTGCTCCAGCTGGCCACGTGCACCGCGCCTCGGGGGCATGTGCGCTCCGGGGTGGTTCTTCGTTCGATCGTCCCCTGGGAGGATTAGCTCACGCCTGCCCGTGTCCGATCGCGCGCATGGGCCCCGTGCTCCGTGGCCCTAGCAGCCAAAGCAGGTCGCTGCCTGAACCTCTAGCGATGGTCGCCGCGGAGCTGCAGAGTGCGGCGCGGCCCTGATCGTCCGCGATGGCCGTGGGCGCCCTCGCCCGATGGGCGCGCTCTTGCGCCCCGTCGCCAACGCCGTGGGTACTCAAGGGCCTGCCCGCGCGGCGCTGCCACGGCCGTCGCCCTGCTTCGACGGCGCGTCAACGCAGCTGGCGCGCGGGCGATCCACGACCGCGCCATGCACCTGGGAGGTGCACTCGTTATCTGACCACCCAGGGTTCGCCGGCACCTCGGCGCCAAAACCTCGCGGCGAGCCTCGCGGCGACGGCTGCCCCCGCGTGGAAGCTGGCGCGCCGAGAATGCCTTCCTGAATTTGTCTGTGAGACGTGGCTTGGAAGGAAGCACGGTGGATGCGCGTGACTTCTCGCGCTGTCGATGATTGTCTGCACATTGGGCGCTGCGAGAAGGGCGCCCGCGCCGGGTCGTTTCGTAGCTCGACCTCGACGGCCCTGATCGGAGACTGATTGCGGCGCGCAGCGGCCTGGGCGTCGGCGTAGCCCCGGTGGTCGCAATGGCCGCGCCGCAGACGACAACCGCGTCAATGCTGAAGTACTCGTGACGGCAGATACCGCCCCTTTGCGTCGCTGTCCACTTTCCATGCCAGCAGCTCGCGATGAGGCCCGCGCGTCCGAGGGCCGTGGCCGGCACTTCGGCGGCGCGCTCATAGGCGCGACTCTGCGCATCAGGTAAGGCGGTCCGCGCGCGCTGGCCCTCCCGAAGCCTAGTGAGCTGGCTCGAGCCGCCCGCGCGAAAAATGTCGGCTCGCCTGTCGCCAGAGACAGCGACGTGACCAGCCGGCTGAATTCAAGCTCGCGCGCTGTGCCGGCATTCGATCGAGGTGGGAACGCCGGGGCCCCATGGGCTTTGAGCCAGCGGGGCAGCGTTGACTTGGCGGCGCGACGGGCTCGCTGACTATGGCAATCCTGGGTGCTGAGGGGGCAGAGCTAGGGGCCGGTTGAATCGCCGATAATTGTGCTCCTGACGAAAGACTGGCGATGCTGAACACTTGGGGCGCATGTAGTATTGCGGACTAGTCAATGCAATCGTGTCTCTGCACGGTGGTCAGTGCAGCTGCCGACAGGAACCGCGGACTGGCTCGGGCGCCTGCCGGAAACAACAGGAACAAGAGAGCACTGGCGATGGGCTGGGCCCGGGCCGCGGCAGCGGTGGAGATTCGGCGGCCTCGAAAGCGACTCCTGATATACCGGAGCGAGGTCCAGCATCCAAGGCGCCGCCGATCGGCCCCCAATCGGCGCGGCCACCGAAACTCGGGCAAACTCCTTGGGACCTGAACTTCCAGAGCCGGCCTGCGGGCATGCGGCCCTGAAGTGGAACTCCACATTCGAAATGCTGCGCCTCGCCGTGCGACCGTCGTGGACTAGGGGCGTCCTCTTGCTGCCGTTGCCATTGCCGCTAGATCGCCTACCCTTGCCCCTGCCATTGCTTCCGTCGAAGGCGACGTCGACTCGGTCGTCGGTCAGTTGGGCCGGGAAGCGAAGCTGTGATCCTGAGCCCGTGAGCATCTGGACAGTCTGGCATTTCTGGTGGATTAGTGTATGCGGCGTGTCCATCCGCGTTTGTGGTTCTTGATCTGCCAGAATAGCTGGGCGTCGATCTGGGGAGGGGCCTCTGAAGTGATCGGACGAATAGGCGATCGCTTCTCCGATCTCTGAGCTGGTGCCAGCACTGGTGCCGCCTGCATTCCCGCGGTGGGCTTGGGCCTCATCATCTGGCCGCCGCGCGGCGGCGGCGGAATCCTTCCCGCGGCAGTGCTGCGCTCGGGTGCGAACTGCCGGCGCGGGCGAAGGCACCTCCGGCGCCCGGGGATTTTGCGGCGCGCGCAGCCCAAGGGTCGATCCCCCATGCAGGGCGCGCGCCGCCGTGACTGCTGTTGTCACTGGTCACGCTTACGACGCCTCCGAGAACGCGAAGGAGCTCCTGGGTACTTTACAGGCGCGTCTCTTCGCCAAGTGGTCCGAACTGATTCGCGAGGTTCGCGATTGGATAGGTGACGGCATCTTAGGGTCGGCCGTTGACCACGCCTCCTCTGGCCATCTCCGCGAAGTTCATGGAACGCGTAAGGCCACGAGCAGCACCACCAAGGTTCAGGAAAATGGCTGCGCGCTGCCAAGCGCTGCCCATGTCTGCGGCGAGCACGCTCCACGCGAACAAATCCTGCACCCAGTTGCGATCAAGTGCGCGGGTTCACGTTCAGGCGACGGGGCAGTTGGCTGACGCATCTTGCCTCCTCTGCCGTCGCCTCCACCTTGCAGTCCAGCTGTTCCTGACACCGTGCGTAGGAGCCCGAGCAAGGTGATTGCGGAGGGGATGGCGATGTTGCCCCATCGCGCAAAGACGGTGATTCTCCCCTAAAGGACTCCACCGCGAGAAGAGCCGCGCAGGCGCCTTGAAACCCGGCGCTGCACAGGGACGAGCGCCAGCTCGATAATTTGTTCATCCGTCGTGGCGACGGCACCCTTAGTCGACGCTGAGGGTGGTGAAGCAGGTACGTTCACCAATATTGTGTCACTCGGGTTGCGCAGCGTGCTCACTAGGACGTAAACCAGCACTGTTGCGCACAGTCCGACTCCGAGTACTGGCCCAATCGTACGGCCCAACGCAAGGGTTTGCGTTCCGCGACCAATGCTGGACGGTTGAACTGAAACCTGGGCGTCGTGGCGCCCATGTGGGCTTGTGCCTTGCACGTAGCCCACAGCTGCTGTTCCCATTGCAGCAGGGCTCTCACAAACACACGCACGGTATGGCGATGGCCTCATCGGGCCCGTGCGTGCCCTGGTCAAACTGCCCGCCGGGTTGCATGACAGCCATAAACACAGGCAGTTCAAGGAAAGGAGGAAGGAATGTGGCACCAGTGTGGAAGGTGAGGGAAATGCGAATCGACGTCCACTTCGCACTATGCGCGTCTTCCGTGGATCTCGAGCTCGGCTCATTCCCGAATTCGCTACCAACTAGAAATGCGGGGTTTGGTGGCAACGAGAAGGTTGACATGGAACTCCGAAAACATATAAGCAGGCCTATGTTATTTGTCTGGTCTGCCTTTATAATTACGCGTGGGCGCTGAGCCGAACGGCCACAGGGCATCTTATTCTGGTGCAGAGGAGGAGAACAAGGAATAGGAGGAGGAAAACAAAGAGGAGGAGGAGCAGGAGGAACGTGAAGAAGAGAACATGGTCAAACATCCAACGTTCCCATAGATGTACTAGTCAACCTTCGTGTCGGCCGTCGTGGCGGCAGCCGTTTGGAAAACGGCAGCCTCCGTCTCCGACCAACGTAGTAACACCACCAAATGTTATTTGCTGTGTGTGTTTGTCTGAGGGGTGGGGCTGGCCATAGCCACCACGCTAGCAACGGCTGAGAGAGCGACGCCAGGGGCCAACATCGCGAGATGAGGTCATCCCCGCTGCTGCAGGCTGGGCTCCCCCAAGGGCCCAGATGACACGTCATCGCCAGGTGAGCCCTATCTCACCTGCACAATTCCGAACGAAAACGCACGTGGTCCGCATTTTAGCACGGCATGTGGCGACGGCGGCCCGTTCCGCGGAGTCGCGCCGTTCCGCGGAGCGGGAAGCTGGGAAAGGCTCAGGACGTTGACGCTCGGGGACAGGGAAGCCGTTAGCGTGTCGCGTCGAAGCGAGGTGGGCCAAACCTGGCGGCGCGACGCGCTAAGCCAAAGCTCCTGACCGTAAATGTTCTCTCTTGGTGTTGGTGGAGCACACTGGGAGGAAGAGGAGTTGGAGGAAGAGGAAGATGGGGATGGGAAGTATGAGTCGAACAGGTGAAGGGGCTGAGAGGGAATGGCATGACGGCATGGCGAGGGGAATCATGATGAGGGGCAGAAGGGAGAGTTACGAGGAAACGCGGAAGAAAAGGGGTGCTGGAGGAGAAGTATGGAAGGGGGAATGTAGCGGCATTTGGCGGGCCAATATCCCGTGAATCTGAAGGAAGAGGAGGAGATGGAGAAAGAGAGACTCCCTCCAGTGTGGGCGGGTCCCCCTCCCTCCAGACCGTATTGCTGAGGCGGTAGCACCAGGGATGGGTCGGAGGAGAACTTGCCCACGATGGGCTGTCCAGTGGCCCACCTGACAGGGGTATTGGGCCAAAGGCGACGTCACGGAGTGGCACGATCGGGCACGATGAATGAAGCCTTTTTCCTCTCTTCCATTTCGTCCATCATACCTTCTCGCACCTTCAGCTCCTCCTTCCCATGCTCCAGGGAGGGGGTATGGGAATACTTGCCTCCTGTGGACCGTCCACACGCGAGTGTGGCAGGGGCAGAGACCAGGAACGAAGACCTAGATGTGTTCGCGCTTGCACTCCCTGCTCCTCCAGCCTGCCCCCGTCCTTCCCAAATCCCTCCGCCATCCCGTCTTCTCCATCCCCGTCGGTTTCTTTGGAGAAGCCACACAACGCAAGCGTATGGCTGTTCTTCCTCCCTCCTCTCCTGGAGCGAAGGTACACCCATGAGAACCAGGCAAGCATTATGATGGCCCCCCCTCGTTCCTACATCGCTGGCAGATGCGGTCAGCTTGCCCTGCGAGGGAGATGTGAGCCAGCGTACGCCCCACACCCTGTGTTGGTAGCAATGTGTGGTGCTCAATCGATGTGGGGCGATAAGCGTGGCGTTTTCTACGTGATGCGCAGTGTACGCGGTGCAGCAAATGGTGTGCAATCGATATCGTGCTGCCTTTGATGTGCAATCGAAGAACGCAACGTATGCAGTGCAACTGGCGTGGTGCAATCTACGTGGTGCAACCCACACAACAGAAAATGAGGATGTCAAGTCCCCTGCCCGCGAAATCATCCCACCCAACCGCCCGCAACTGGGTTCCAAAAACCCATGCGGCGGCGATTGCGGTGACTGCTTGGCGCTGGCTGGCGCATCGGCACGGCCACGCTAGCGCGCTCAGTTTCGAACGCAGGGCAGCGCTCTAGTCTGGCACGAGTCGGTGGCTCAGGCGGGCGCAATATTATGGCGGTGCCGACAACGGCTGACACGATGATGGTAGTACCGGTGCTGGTGGCGATGATGACAACGACAACGGCAAAGCCAATGATGGCGCCGATGCTGATCGCGCCGATGACGATGACGGCGTCCACGTGTCGAGGATGAACGTTGTGTAAGGATTTCGAAATGAGCGCGCGGCCGACGCGCGCGAGCGGCCCGCATGATAGCATTTGACAAGTATCTTTCCCCCAGCCCCGTAGCATGCGCGCGACGGCGTTCGACTGATTCTGACATGCGCGCGCGAGAGGCTCGTATGGTAGTATTTTCTTTGGATGAAACAGGTTGGACCCAAAGCCGATGGTGCCCTCGTGAATTCGCATCGGCGGGCGCAAACTTCTTCGAGCAATCATGGTGCAAAACCAAATGCTCTTTTCTTTGTTTGCACGGACTGGTGCGGTCTGGTGCAAACTATGCGGTGCAAGTCGCCCTGCCGAACTTGCAGTTGATATATGGCAGGGGTCGAGGGGCCGCAATGTGCGCACAAGGTCGTTCAAATGAAATCGGCACGTACGCGCGCGCGAGGTCCGTTGGGTCGTATTTAATGAACACGTTGAAGAATCCATGGTTGTCTTAAAGTTCGCAAGAGCCCGCGCGCAACCTCGTGTGAAAACTCATGTTGCAAAACCCTTGCTTATTTGATATGTTTCCGGGGCGCTCGATTTTGCCGTACGAGACCGAAGGATTTGGAAGGATTCCGGCATGCGCGCGCGACCACACGCGCGTGGGCGTTGCCTATTTTTCTGCAAGTGGACACTTGTGTTTGAAAAAAGAGCGCGCGCATAGTTTTGTTTGACGAGGATGATCGGGGGGATCGATACCAGCCTGGCTGGGATGGTAATGTCAATTGAGCATCCCCAGGGTGGACCGATTAGTCCTGGGGAAGGGGGGAGCGCAGCAAAACCTTATTCGTTCCTAAAAAGGAGCGTCTACGGTGTGCAATTCAGACGGCGATGGGGAGGCGATGGCGACAACATACCCGTCAGACCGACAATCAAGTCCAGACGACGGGCGGCGACGAGGCGGCGACGGGGCGGCGACGGCGGCAACATAGCCGACAGATTGATACTCAGGCCCAGTTCCTTACAACAAAAGTAGGAAGCATTAAGTACTAACAGTGTTTGGGGAATCTGGTGTTGGCCAGGTTGCTGTACGTGCCTATGTTGTTGTTGAGTGACCACATATTCCGACGTCTGCCCCCCGCCACCTTCTCCACTACATAGCAAAACGATGCACCACCAACAACCGAACAACCGACGTCAACCCACTAAGGACTCGCCCTCTTTTGGCCCGACACCTCCCCTCTGGCCTGGATCCGTTCCTCTTCGTTCATCGTCGTTCGTCGTCATTCTCGAACGAGCCTCCCCCATTCCACCCCCAAACCACAAAACCTAACCCTGTCCAGTGGCCCCGCTCCTTCTGAGTCCCCAGTCGGCCACCGCCACTCTTGGCCCCGGATGGCATTATGCTCGTTCGTCGTCGTCGTGTGTCGTCCTGCCTGCCTTCATCTTCGGCCCCTGCGGTAAAGAACTCTTGCTTAGCGTATGCGGCCCTGGCGACACGCTATGCTCGGCAAGCGGATAACGTGTCGCTCCGCTCCGCGGGGCGGGAGGCTGGGAAAAGCTCGGGACATCGACGTTTGGGAATGGCGGCGCGGATAGCGTGTCACGCCGAAGCGTGCTGGGCCAGAACTGACTGGTGGAACGACGCGCTAGGCCAAAGTTCATGACCTTTTTCGTCGCTGTCCCTGGGGCGCGGGGGCCCCTCCCGGGGCCCTGGCCTCGCTGCTGCCGCCTGGCCCCGCAGGACTCCGCCCTGGGTCGGGCCCCTGCCCCACCATGGGCCCACTGGCCCGGGATCCTCGTGGCTCTCGCCGCTGCCTCGTCGCCCACGCGCCACGGCATGCCTGCCACTTGCTTTCGCTCGTCGTCGATCGCCGTGCGTCGTCTCTCTTCCCCCGCCCCTGCCGTTCGCCCTGGCGCACGGGACCCCGCCCTGCCCCTAGCCTCGTCCACCTCCACGGGGCCCTCGCCCCTGGCCAAGGGGTCCTCGCCCTCCTGGCCCTTTTGTGTTTGCTCGTCGGCGCTCGTCGCTTGCCTTCTTTCGTCCTTCCCGCTCTTGCCCTGGCCCGCGGGCGGGTCCCCGCCCGCCCTTGGGCCCTGCCCCCTGGCCGTGGGCACGCGGGAGACATAGTCTGGGAGCGCGGGGGCCGCGCATCGGTCTGAGCAAAACTTGGCCCGCTTCGGCGACACGCATGGCACTGGTGACCTCTAGTGCGCGGTGTGCCCACCGCTGCGTTCGATGCGGCAGCGGCGGCCTGTGTGCTCGGGGTTTTCCTTCCCCCCAACGCCCTTCCGAAAGCCGCTCGCCAAAGGAGGTCAGTCTGGCCCAGGGTCCCTCTCGCACGCGTAGTCGAAACTCCTGCTGCGCGTGAGCGGCACAAGACTACAATTTACGCAGGCGGAGCGCTCTTCGCGCAGAGAAGACAATGAGAGAGGCGGGGGTCCACTCTCCGACCAGCACCGGCGGAGTCTCTGCCGCGTCCTGGCGATCCGCAGGATTTGCAGCATTCAGGACAAGTGCTGGGGGCTGCCAAATTTGCACCTGAACCAAGCTGGATTAGGCGCATCCTTGGCGGACCTCGACTCAAGGTCCCCCCAGCAAATAGCTGGGGGCACCTTGAAGGTGCCCTTAGTCTTTTTCTGAATTTTAAATCTATGGAGCCCTCTGGGTCTCGAAGGGGGTCACCTTGAGGCCAAGAACCTCTTTTCAAATCTCGGGATGCCCTTGGGCCAGGGGCAATTGGGAACCACCGCGGAGAAGAGGAGCAAGAGGAGGACAGGAAGTAGGATGATGAAGAAAGGAGAAGGACGAAGAGGAAAGCTACCGTGGGAACGTGGGCAAAGTCTTCCATGGTGATGCTGGTTTGGCTCAAACACAAGATTCTTACCTGGATGAGAAGTGGTGGAAACTGCAGCCCTTATTCTTCTGTGTGTTTTCAACCTTCCCCAGGTTCTCTGAACATAATTGAATTACTCGCCTAAGCCTTTTGTAAATCTGTGTGCCTCCTGCAGTGGAGGCGGATCCGAGCCTCGAAAACGGCGGCAGGCTCCACCGAACTACCCACTCGCTTCTGAAAGTGAGTGTGCGAAAACGCTTCGCACACAGAGGCGCAGCAAATAATGGCGTCTGCAGACGGCAGATGCTTCAAAAACATGGGGAAGGAGAGGGGAATAGTGTCGGCACAGTCCACAATCGGTCCGAGCCACGTCCTGGGGATATCCTGAGCGTGCGGGCAAAGAGCATAGTGTTGCATATCGTCCAAATCAACAGTCTGGGCCCTGGGGGTAACACAGCCGAACACACGCCCACGATTTACGGGGTGCAACCCGAAGAGGGGCGAGCCCAAAGAGGGGCGACTCCAATATACATCTGAGCTCGTTTCACAACGCAGCGTAGTTTGCCAATCCGTTCGGCGGCTTCCAGGGGGCACGGCGGCGGGGGCCAAGCCGAGATCCTTCGGAATTGCCCAGCTTCGGGGCGCTTGTCGAGGCCCACGGGGTCCCGCGAGCCGACTACAGCAAGTAAACAGCGCTGTGGCTTCTTATTTGGGGAAGCGCCAGGCACGGCAACTACAGCGGCAGAGCAATCGTTGCCCAAACTGCACATCTGAAAGAATGGCGTCCTCCACCAACCTCTGAGCGCCCTTGCAATACACGCTTCATCCCCCATCCCCTCCCGCTTCCTTCCCATCGACGTCGTAGCCTCCAGTCGGGTCTTTACGACCACAGGGGAAGGGGAGATCGTGGTCGCACGGAGTTGCGCCGCGCGAGCGCACGAGATGAGCGCTGGGAGCTCGGCAGACAGTCCAAGCGACTTCAAGCCGCGCAGCATATGGCGTGAGAAAGAGAACCTCGGGGCAGCGGCCATTAGTTGCAGGCTTTCATTATATACCTTGTGCACGGCATGCGCGGGCGCGTAGAACTGCATCACATGCATCAGCACAGAGAGAGACACGCGGAAAATAACCTGACAATCGTGGTCGCCAGCCCGAGCCCAAGGTTCCGTAGCGCACGCGCGCGTCCCTGAGACTTACAGACCGCTTCCCGCCAAGCATGCGCCTTTCCTTCAGGTCCTATCTCTATGCCAAGATACTTGACGCGAAACACAGCCTGCAGCTCACCTAACTCCTACCGGGAGTCTCCAACCACGACGTAGTCGCAGACGCACTCGCATCGCCCGTCAGGGCAAATTGACCTTTGTTGTAGTTGAGCCGACGCCCCACACCGGTTTCGAGGGCCCCCATGAGCTCCAACACCTGAGGGAGGCTACAGAACGCATCGCGTATCCCAAAGGGAAGATCGTCGGCATACCCCAATCCACGACCAATGTGAAAACTCGCACGCATCAGAAGCCAGCGCAATGTAGCAACGAGCGCAAGAGAAAAATCGACATGTTGGTAGGGCCACCCTGCCGCACTCCCCGCGCAATTGCAATGGCGTCCAACCTTCGCCCTGCGAGTGTAACCGTAGCTGCGTTGTCTGTGTAGAGAGCAGCAAAGAGGTATACGATTGGAGTCGGGATCGCCATGGCGCTGACGACAATCAAGACCCAACTGATGAGGATGGGGGGGGGGGGGGGGGGGGGAAGCAGCAAAGTCGGAAAGGTGCAGCGCAGAGCTAGGCAACCTCCTCATCAAATGTTGCAGCCCCCGCTCCTGCGCCTCCACCACATTAGAGATGAGGCTCCTCCCACCCACTCCTCCCGTCTGCATCGCATGCACCGTCGTCTTCGCAGTCGTTGCAAGTGGAGCCCCCGCCCCCATCGACATAGCCTTACAAGACGCATCAGCAAACGCCAAAGGTCGGGTCTTGCCCGCTTCACGAGAGACTGAGTCACCAACATCATACGGATGCGAACCCTTCGGCAAGAAAACGATTCGCACATGCCCCATATCCACAGAGGAGTCGGTGCTGTTCGTATCATAGAGGTCCAAGTACATATCGTATAGTATATCAGCCGCAGGTACTATCTGCCAACAACTACATGGGATCCCGTCGGGTCCAAGGGCCGTGTTTTTCTTAGACAGAAAAGCACTGAGAAGATCGCATCGATCAAGCTTCCGCTCGATGGCATCACTCAACGCTCGCACAGATTGGCAGTGTTCAACGAGAAACTCCCCCCACCTCGTCATATCCTCATCCTTTGCTGCAAATGCCTTCCCCCGAAAGTTAGCAAGCGCTCGCCCAGATTCCCCCGCGCAGGTGCACGGTGTGCCGTCGTCGGTGAGCAACCCCTGCAGGTGCATGCGCCGTCGGAGCTGGCGCCAGGTCTGCACCCGAAACCGAGTGCGAGCGATGGCCTGCTGCTGGCGGGCCTCAGCCTCTTCGTCGGCCGGGACGTCGGCAACCTCCTGACTTAGCTCGGTCTCCAGCACAGTGTAGTGGCGCCGGCGCGCATACTCACATAGCTTAGCAAAGTCCGTGCGGAGCTCAAGTCTATGTCAAAAACCTGCAAGCATAGGGAGCGCGCATACCGCCGATCGCACAAGGTCGAAGTTTCCAGACCTCCAGCCTCGGATCGCACGCATCGCCCAGAAATGCCGTTCCTCGGGACTGGACGCAGGTTTCATCGCCAAACGCTGTTTCGCCAAACGCACCTGATCACGCATAAAAGATTCGGTGGGCTCGAGGCGCCTCAAGGGGGACCAGTCGGGGGGGGGGCCTTCAAGAGCTTCCTTCACCAAGTCGCGATAAGTCGGGGCCTGGCTGAGCCACGCAGGGGGAACCTGAGCCTCCCGAGGGTCATGAGGCTGAAAGGTAACCACCATTGGCAAATGGTCCGAAGATTTAAAGCGCTTCGGCCGACTCCATACCTTCGCCTGTAGAGTCAAATCAGAAAGCATGGTACATGGCAGGTCAGTATAGATACGATTTAGCCTGGATGCGCGTGTACTCCCGTCGTTGCCCCACCCATATCTAATCGGATCAGGTTGGTAGAGCTCCGCCCACCTCCACATTTAGCCCCAAAGAACTGGGTATGCCAGCGGCCCCCAGGTCCCCGTTGCCCCCCGTCATCAGCCTGCCGCCCCTCCTCCTCCAATGCAATATTCCAGTCTCCCCCGCTCAAGTTGAAACATGTCGTCGCCTTGGGTAGCGCGCTGCACGCGTCGCAGAGCACCTAGCGATGCAGCGGGAGCCCGTGGCAAGTATTCGGCATATGCACGCTGGCCACACATAGTGACCCCTTGGGCCCATCGCACTGCGAGACCAGCACACGCCCCTCTCGCAGAGTCCGATGCTGGATACTGATGAAACATGACGCAAACAGCGAACTCTTAAGTATCGTGATAATGCCTCCCTCAGCAGCAGACGCACTCATCGTCGCACCGATGTTGCTCCCACGCAACTGCTGTAGCAGACACTCCACATCCCCCTCGTGGCCGTGCCGCTCCTGCGCGCGCGATGTCATATCGGCCACGCAGCGGCCAGGACTTACGATGCCGTTGCTTGGCGAGACCCCCTCCATACCGTACTGGCGCGAACCGTGCTGCTGCATTCCAGACCGCCGTGGAGAAGGGGCGGTTCGGGGAGCAAGGCCATTCCGCAATTTCCGTAGCATCATCCACGTCTGCGCTGTCAGACGAACTGTCATGCGTAGTAGGTGGGGAGGGGGGCGGGGGGAGAGCTGAAAAAAGAGCAGCAGAGCAAGCAACCACAGGGGATCCCGCGGTGCATTCTGTCGGCGCCAAAGCCGCTGTGCTATCACATTTTCGGCCACGGCGGCTACGCGTAAAATTGTAGGGGGCGCCTCAATGCCACCCGCGCAGCCTCGAGCAGATTCGTCTTCTCAGGCGCGGGGCCGAACTCGTTCAGCGTGGCATCGTCAAACTCAACCTGCACGTCGTTGCTGCCCTCCACGACCGCGGTGCGTGGACGTTGAACACGCAACATATGCACGTCTCCACCGAGCCCATTGGACCCGGCACTGTTGCCGAGTTTCTGGCGAAGCTTACCCATCGAGAGGAACAGGCGCCTGTCCTTGAACGCGAGGTCCCGCCGCACCGTGAGGGTGAAGTGGCCGCCCGTCGGATCAGGAACTGCAAGCGGCCCTCCATATTCTGGAAGTCCGAGGGGAAGCCAGATGCCGCCGACGCGCTGCTAAACTCAAAGGTCGGTTTCCAATTCATGTCGAAAGCCTTGGTGGCCGCAGTGTTCTGCGAGCTCTGCGGGGCGCAGCGATGACGTGCCACGTCAGCAGCGCGGCGCCGCGCAGATTGCATGAGAGGGCGGGCGAAGCCAAGAATCACCACTTACGACGCACCTTCTGCAGCTGAGAGCCACTTGGCGCCGAGCTGATTCCTGTAGATGGACGCGTGGGCGACGGACTCGGCCTACGACGACACCGCGACGAGGGGCCTCCATCAGCATCGTGATGAGGAGCACGCTGAACGCCAGTGAGCTGGGACTCCAACTTCGCAACCGTCTCCTCGAGCTGCGCCATGCGCACTTGACGCGGTGCTTCCGCTGAGATGTCTGCCATTGCATCGCTAGCGCTCTGATGCTGTTCCATGCTGGCCCCGAGGATGTCCAGCCGCGCTGCCAGCTGGTTGTAGTCCCCACGCAAAACCGAGACCGACGACGAGAGCTCAGCCTGGATTGCATTCAGCTGTGTGTCCATGCTCGTGACAGAGAAGATCATCGTCTTCGCCCATTATGGCGCCGCCTCCGCCGCCATGTCTGAGCGCGCGCGTGCGAAAAGAAACTTGCGGAATAGCGGCTGGAGCGCGCGAGGGCCTCTCCCTCCAAGCAACTCGAGCCAGGGCAATGCACACTTGAGCCGAAATCGCTTGAGCCATAATGGCTACGGACGGAAACGGCCTTCATGACCCAGATTCGGACCCAGGGTCGCGCCCTAATGTTGGGGCCATGGTGGGGGTATGTATTCCTGGGTGTGCAACGTCCCTCAAGCAAAGGTTGGCGGGGTACGGCGAGGGCATTTGATGACCAACAATCGGATCAAGAGTCCTGGGTCTGAAAAGCTGGACGAGAACCACTTGAGGCTTGCTCGTGGGTACCACCACCACTCTCGGGTGCTGCTAGAAATTCCCCTGGCCCACGGTGCTCACAAGACTTCCAAGGTGGCCCCCACGGCCGCCAGAGCGCCCCTCACGAGGGTCAGAAGGCCCCAGGGGCTCAAACATTGAGCGAAAAGCTGGGGGCACCTTCGGCCAGGCGCATCCTTTGCAACCCCCGACGACCCCATCAAGTAAGTAATCCTCCAAAGTCCGACGTCTCCTTAACACATCCCTTAATGGGCGACACCCACCGTAATGCCCCCGACCGAGTGATCATGGAAGGCATGGTGCTGCGGCCCCAGCCCCACGTCTGCCCCTGCAGCCACGCACGCACGATTGTCTCATTGAGCCCGCAGCGGGATCAGCAGACCGTGGGCAACAACAACGGTGTGGACACGTGGAGTTCGACAGTGCCAACATCGGAGCAACGCAACAATGATAACTGTCGATGCGGAAATCGAATTTAATTGCGCCAGCCGCGCCGTAGGCACTGAATGGAGTGTCCTCGAGTCTCTTCGAGCTCTCTGCGCTTCCTACTCCGAATACACGCGTAGTGGGGCTCAGGAGCGGCAGTGGCGGAACGTTCGGGCTTCTGGGGTGTGCGGGATGCAATTTCTGGAGGCCGGAGAGCCCTGCAATGGACTACGCAAGCGGGTCCCGCAAGGGTTTCAAAACTTCCCACGACGCGGCGGAAGAGCGCTCCAGTACGGCCACATTCGATCTCAAGACGGCCCAAGAGGTCCCCGATCGCCCCAGGAAAGCCCAGAATAATCCCCCAATAAGGACCAATGAAGCAACATCCAATGACTACCTGTAGGTACTTGGAAGGATTGTACCGTCCCCGCATTTACGGGCTTCAGAACAACACAGAGAGCCCCATAGGCCCCGAAGACATCGTCCGAAGATGGATCGGAAAATTAAAATGAGCCGGGGGGCAGACTGGGCGGGGGGAGGGGGAGGGGAAGATGGGGCAGGGGGTGCGCCGCACCACCACTTACTCTATGCCCCAGTGGGGGCCTTGCCGCCAGTTGATGTATCCCGAATGTTTGTTCACTGCTGCTGCTTCTTTGCATCCACATGTTGTTTTCTGCTCGCGCACAGATGCGACGAAGCTCACTCTACTTGTGGCCAGCGCAAGAAAGGGGGGGGATGGGCGGTGATAGAGGCCAGCGGGCCGGGCCGAGGGGCGGGGGTTCAGCGACAAGCTGGCAGATGGGACGACGGGAAGAACTCGAGCGCTTAGAACGATTTGGCATGAACAGAACGGGTCCCAAAGGAAACGGACCGTGGACCGCGGGGCCTGTCTTCCCCCGAAACCAGTTTTGATCCCGAGTCGTTTTCTGACAGTCCTGGGTCCCAGGGAGGTCCCTGGGAGCCCGCAGCCGCTGCAAACCCTGGGAACCCAGTTCTCTCAGGACCCGCTTGCTTCACGACGGGCCATGTGGACGTGAGTGCGGGAACGAGGGTTGGACTTCGGCGCCATTCGGAGCAGCCAGTGCGGGGAACGCGACAGAAGGAGGAAGGGGAGAAGGAGGAGGAGGAGAAGGAGGACGAGGAGGAGGAGGAGGAGGAGGAGGACGAGGAGGAGGAGGAGGAGGAGGAGGAAGGAGGGGGAGGAGGAACAGGAGGAGGAGGAGGGGGAGGAGGAACAGGGGGAGGAGGAGGAGGAGAATCGCTCGACACTGTCAGCAACTCGCAGCTCGAAGGAGGAGGGAGGAGGGGGCCTCCCGCAACGGCGCGGCTGGTGGGCCCCGGCCAACGCCCGCCGCCCAACGTCAGCCCTCCGCGCACCGCAGCTCGAAGGTCGCGCTCACCGGGAAGTGGTCCGACGGGTAACGACCGCTGGCCAGGGCCTCCGTCACCACCTCGCAGCGGCGGGGGCGGAGGCTGGCGCCGCCGGCGCCGCTCCCGTCCCTCCACAGGATCCAGTCGATGTGGCTGGCGTCCTCCTCCTCTGGAGGCCTCCCAGCTTGGGTCCGAGCAGATGAGGCCGGAGGATCGCGCCGCATCGGCGATGCATCGGCGCCGTCGACGGGGATTAGTTCGGGCTCCACATCGAGCCGCATCCCCGATGCATCGGCGATGCGGCGCGACCCTTCGACCCCAGCTGCCCTGCTCCCAGCTGGGAGGCCCAGATCCTCGCCGGGGTCGCCCGCGAGCTCCACGGTGCCGTCGCCGCGGCGCGACGCGAAGGCGGGGCCCTGGAACTTGTGGATCGTAGACGGCGCCAGGTCCACCTCGGCCGCCTCCCGCGCCGCGTCCCGCAGGCCCGCCTCGGACGAGTGTTCAAGGGGGGGGTTGGCCTAAGAAGAAGGGGGAAAAAGAGGCCCCAAAGGGGCCCTGACTTCCCCCCCCTCCCTGAGGTCATCCCCCCCATCAGCGCCCGCCCGACCGCCTCGCCGGCCAGGATACGGTACACCTCGTTGCCGCCGCCCTTGGGGGAGTTGAAGTCGCCGCAGAGCACCTGCGCGGCGCCTGGGGCCTCGGCGACCGCGCGGCGCACTGCCTCGGCGTTGGGGGGGGGCGGGAGGGCTTCTGTGCGGTCCCTCGGCTCGCGCCGTGGGGCGTCCGCGATCTGTTCCAGCTCTTTCGGCTACACGCAAGGAGCGACCCTGGGCAAGAGTGACCTCGGGCGTGCGACTTCCGGGGGGGGAGAGGCGGGGGGGCCGAAGCGGAGCGCGCAAGCCGCTGCAATCGCATGCCCCTTCAGCCATCTGGGGGCCCCAGTGTGTCTGCAGCTAGATTCACTCTGGCGACGTCACTTCCTCGTGCAGGCGAATCTCGCTGGAGATGTCTGGGCTTACCTAGGCTGATCTGGATTTGCCCTGAAAAGATTGGTTTGCCCGAGTTTGTGTTGCTTTGCGTGCGACCCTCGGCACGGTTCACGCCAAGAATGTGTTGCGCTGTTTCCTCGTCGATGAAATATGCTGCGTTTGGGTGAATGTGTGTGCCAAGTACTTCTTGGCGCCCCCCTCCCATGTCGGCCATCGTGGACATCCTGAGTCACACCCACTCAAGGCGCGTTTCGCTCTGCTTCGCCTTTGCACTGGGGCGACACTGAAGGGGGGAATGTGGGCGACATGGAAGGGGGGCGTACACCCCTTTTGAGGTTACCTGTGTCGAGGGCTGTAGATTCGCCTGGTCTGATCGCCGCAAGTCCATTGGAAAAAGGTCGTTCGGCCCCGAGGGACCTCGGCGAGCATTCCAGCGGAGTGGCGGCGGGCCGACTGGCCCTCGTGGTCCAGGTGCGTGTTCAGGGCGCGCAGCCGCGGCGCAAAGGGGCGCAGCCCTCCTGCGGGGAGCGCCTCCGCGCCCCGGACGCGGAAGAGCGCGGCCTCGAAAGTCCGCGGATACATGGCGTCCCAGCACGCGTCGCCTGATGAAGTAACATGCGCACGCTCAAACCCTATCGGAAGGAGCGATGGGGGAAGGGCCAAGCGATGAAGGCATGAAAGATACGGGTGCGAGTTGTCGGACGCAAAGGAGGGCTCCTGTTCGAGCGGAGGCCCCCATTAGAAAACACCAACACACACACACACGCTGAGCCCACACGATCGACCCATGGTCACCAGGGGCGCACCCGGGTGGCCCAAGCCACGTGGCGCGGTGGTCCTCCAGGTCAAGGGCGCTGGCGTCGTACAGGAAGCCGGCGGTCTCGTCCTTAGGGGAACCAAGAGGTATACCGATACCGCACTCCCCGGACCTCTCCTGGAGTCGTTCTGACCAGGATCTCGAGGCGAATCCAGCCGTGGCGACGAGGGTCTCCCAAGAGGTCAAACAAGGCGAGAACGAGGCAAGGCAATAGCGGTATGGGTACCTTCTCCTCCTCGGAATCCTCGGCCCCAGGGGTCCGGGAGGTCGCCACCGCGCGGTAGCGCCCGCCCAGCCGGGCCACCAAAAAGTCCAACATGGGCCGGGTCGCCTCCTGCACACAGACCAAAGCCGGGAGCCGGCGCGCCAGCAGCTCGGCGACGCCGCCGCGCCTCTGAGACCAGCCATCCTGCCCGTCGGCGAGATCCTGGGACTCTGTGCGCAGGTTGAAGCTCCAGACCTCGGGGCGCAACAACCAGGATCAATGACACGCCGCCATGGGGAACGAATCAGCACCTTCCTGTGCGGTCGTTCGTTAAGGAATGTCACATACCTCATCGAACGCCCACGCAATCCCGGGCACATTCCTGGGCACATTCCATCATAAGGCGCTGGAGCCTCCTGGGCACATTCCCAGTGTGCCTAGGAGGCGTCAGACCCTGGAGGCTTCCTGATCTCACGAGGTCCCTGGCAGACCCAAGATTGGAGTTCCAGCGGCTTCCAAACCCTGGTGATCCAATGCTCTCACCGCACTGTTGAAGAATCGCCCAGCCTTCTGTCGAAAACGAAGGCGCGAAACGCTGCCAGGTTACCACAGGCGGCGTGCCCGAACCCGAGCACGACGCCATACGCCGTTGGGTGCGCACGCGGGAAGAATCGGCATTCGAGCGTTCACAGCCAGTGCGCCTGCTAGACAACGCAAGAGGAAAGAGAGGAGGAGAAGGAGGAGGAGGAGAGGGAGGAGGAGGAGGAGGAGGAGGAGGAGGAGGAGGAGGAGGAGGAGGAGGAGGAGGAGGAGGAGGAGGAGGAAGAGAGGGAAGGGGGAGGAGGAGAGGGAAAGGAGGAGGAGGAGGAGGAGGAGGAGCATGAGGAACAGGAGGAGGAGGAGGAGGAGGAGGAGGAGCAGCAGGAGAAGGGGGAGGAAGAGCGGGCGGAGGAGGAGGCGGAAGAGCAGGAGGCGGATGAGACTGTTTCTGGGGAAACCCATAAGTACCGACAACGCTATTGCCAGGACCGCTCCCAGGGTGCATTTTGGCCAGGATCTCGAGGCGAGTCCAGCAGTGGAAACGAAGGTAGGGGAGATTGTAGGTACTTTCTCCTCCTCTAAACTTTTTTCCCTCCCGCCTTGGGACCTCCAGCGCGGCAAGGGCCTCGCCGCGGGACGCGGCTGGCGAGGCCCGCTGGAGCACCCGCCAACGCCGAGAGGCGCGCCCGCCGGGACGCCGGCGGCCCGGCGGCGCCGCCGAGACGGCGGCGAGGGCGAGTCAGATGCTCGTTCTGGGGGGCCTCCTATGATATGCAATAAAAAACCCTGACCCTTTGGGAGGGCACCTCAGTTTGGAGCGCTAACAGATTGGGGATTGTTTTTGTTTGCAGATGCATCAGGCCATAAAAAACCAAGATTATTATCCCTGATGCGAAAACGCGGACCTCAGTGAGGCCACATCTCCATTGTATTTATTACGGTTAGGGGTTCTTTTGTGCTCGATGACCCCAGCCAACCATCGATTCTAAGACGAAGCCAGGACGAGGATGAAATCGGGTGAGGATAAATCCAGGATCTCTGAGCTCTGGCGGCTCTGGTGGACGTCTATAGGGCGCCGCGGCTATCTCGGAGTATTCCAGATCGCTCTGAGGCTCTGGAACGGATTAATCTTCGTTCTAGCCCCATCCGAGATTCTCCTGAACCGGTGGGACAGAGGGGTAGGTTTGGACTTCGCCGCGTGGTCGACGAATTCCGAACCCGACCGCCACCGCCCATCGAGTCGCCCGCTCTGCGGCTACACGCAAGAGTGGTGACCCTTGGTAAGAGTGGCCTTTGGTGCGTGATTTTTGTGGTGCCACGGGGGGACCAAACACAAGCGCGCAAACCACTTCGAAGAAATATTGCCCTTACGTGTAGTCGAGTTCTGAGGACCTCCGCAGAGATCCGAGGCTCCGACAACAATTGGAGCGGTCAATTTGGGGTTATCTATCTATCTATATATATACACACAACCTCCAGGGAACCTCCACGGGCCGCGGGGAGAACGAGTCGTGACGAGAAGCCGGCCCATATTGGAAAGTTGTCCAGGCCTCTGGGGCTGACGCGCTGAAAAATCGAGCAAGGGCCGACCGTCCTGGCATTCCTACACGCCTGCCACAGCCTGCCCTTAGAACAGAATAATGTTCTAACATCATGTTCGTAGAACGCACACTCGATATTTTGTGGGAACAAGGCAGGTCGGGACGCTTAGCCACTGCTCGAGTTCTTCGTGGAGCTACTCGCACCACTCGTGCGTCAGTGCTATGTGAGAACACCCGGGCCGCCTTGAGCCGAAGTCGAATCGAACTCCAATCGAACTCGTGGGTCGAACTGGAATCGAAGTATATTCAAAATCGACCTGAGATCCGACTTTGCGAAACAATGCAACATCGGAAAAGACATCCCGAGCCCTAAATCCCATCTCGCTGCGCCACTTGTTCCGAGCCGGATCGACCTGTGACCGCCCTGGAGCCCGACGCCTGGCGAAAACGCCCTGGGGTGAAAAACAACTGCGACGCCCAGATCTTCATGAAGGTGGGCGCCCGGAATGGGCCAGAAACCAAACGGCATCACCCCACCGAATTACGACCGAGCGATGTTGACACTTTAGGCACTTGCCCAACTGCGACCACCGACGACCCATCTACGGCACCACCCCAACTACGACCCACCTGCGACCCAGCGGGTCGCAGGTTGGATGGTGTCGATTGGTTCTTGGTCGACAGGGATCAGCTCGTCATCGTGGATCCATTTCGGATAGTCCCGGGGCCCGTGGAGGGCCCCGGGAAATCAAAACCGGCGAGCGTATCCCTTGGGACCCGCTCGCCCCATGGCGGCCACCCTCCGACCCGCGAGCCCACACTGGGCGACCGCCGCGGCGCCCACGAGGGACCCCACAGCGAGCATCTAAGGCGAGGGCCGCGGCCGCTGGGCGCGGCCAGGCCTCGCTGCGGCACCCGGCGCCGGGCGCCGCGGGCGGCGGCGCCGCCCGCGGCGCGGCCTTCGGCGCGCGACAGCCCGCAGCGGCACAGCCCGGGGCAGCGCGCGGGAGCATTGCAGGGCGGTCGCGGCAACGGCTGCGGCGGCCGACGGAAGCCGCGGCTGCGACGGCGGCGGCGGCGGCGGTGGCGGCTGCAGCCTGCGACGACGGCTGGCTGCGGCTGCGACGGCGGCGGAGGCGGCCGGCGGCGTCCGCGGCCTACGACGACGGCTGGCTGCAGCTGCGACGGCTGCGGCGGCGGCGGCTGGCGGCGGCGGACGGCGGCCGACGCTGGCCGACAGTGGCGGCGGCGGAGCCGCCGCGGCCTGCTCGGGCCGACAGGATTGTGGATTGCGACGCTGATGAAGCTGGGAGCCAATCAGCAGTTGCTGACACGCAACTCGCAGAACGTCAGTGAATCTAGTAAATTGCTGCTGGGGCGCCAAGGCTGGCAGTACAGTGCAGAAGCAAGTAAAAGACACAGTACAAGTCTGCGAGGGAAACGCAGGCGGCGCAATCGATATTCGTGCGCGGCGGAAGGAGGGGGAGGATCGGATCGGACGCCTGTCTGGCCAGATGCCCAGCTTTGTGGAAAGAGGCCGCCAGGGACGGGATGGAGGTGAACTCGGATTTGTCCAAAACGGTGGCTGTGGCCGTGGTGGTTGAGCCACTGTGCAAAAACAAATTAGAACATGAGAATCTGAGCGAAAAAACTGACCACCGTCCTGGAACCCTACATGGTGGTTAGCGGGGCGGGCTTCCTGCGTGAATCGCCTGCGTAACCGGCCAACCACCATGTACATTACGACATGGTGGTTAGGTCTGGCTGGTTGAGTGGCTCCTAACTGCACGAGTAGACAGCAGTAATCACCATCGCACTAACCACCAAGTCGGGCCGATGTCACCCCAAAGACAACTCAAGAGGCCCCCAAGACGGCCCAAGAGGACCCCAAGAGAAAGATAAGGCGGCCCCGGGAGGCTTCCAAGACTGCCTCCGAAGTGGCCTGACGGCGCAATCGCGCCCCACGACAGCCAAGAGGCTCCCAAGAGGCCCCAAGATGCACCATAGATGCCCCCCCCCAAGAAACCCCCAGGGGCATCCAAGAAGCCACCAAGAGGCCCCCAAGAAGCCCGCGAACGGCTCCAAGAAACCACCAAGAGGTCCGCGGCATTGTATACGAATGGCACATTGTTGCTATGCTCATCCGAATTTGACCTTGGCGTTGCCTTGTGCTGACATGCGGGTGAATGCCCCTTGCCTTCGTAGACATTCGCACAGCAGTCCCGCCGCTGAAACGGTGGGGGGCTGATTCAACCCCAAAGACGCTGGCAGCGCCCCAGGGCGGGCAGAACTTCGCTGCAAGCGAGCAGGGCAAACCACCCAACGCCCAGTCAAAATGTGCTCAGGGCGTGCACCCGTCGAACAAAAAAAGGAATCTAGCACACACTCTCTCACACACACATACGCACCCTCGGCCGACATCCGGTCAAGCGTACCGGCGGAGTGATAATTCCAAACGCATCTGTTAAAGCAGCCAGAGCAAAATTAGGCAATGATATCATGACGCACTCGGCGAACCCATGACAGTTATGAAAACACTGAATTGGTGCCTTTGTCAACATCGAGCTGGAATCCGTGATACATCGACGATAGATCGGCGATAGGGTCCCGATAGCGAATCCGAATGTTGCCGGGCTTAGTGGGCTATCGGGGCCCTACCGGCGATCAATGGCGACATATGTGACATTGTGGGTCGATGCGCCCCCCCTGAGCCCATCCCCCCTTCCCCGACATTGCCCCTGAGAACAAGAGTGAGACTTTCAGCCTGCCGAACAATTTCGTGCTCAACTCGGGGATACACGAAGCACTATGGGGGTGTGTCCACGACTTTCCCATCTTAAGGGGCATACTTCTTGTTGAAGGAACTCGGGAATTGGGAGCGAGGGGGCGAGAACTTGCATGGGGGAAGGGGGGGAGACCGAAGTTTTGCGCACGTCGATCGAGGATCGGATCGAGAATTCTGGACATCTTTGGTGGCCTCCAGGGACAGCTAGGAGGGGAAGCACCCCGCTCCCATGCAGGAGGTTTAGAATTGTGGCCCACAGCGATCGAGGATTCTGGACGCTGCTCCGCCCATGTTGGGGGCATGCGGATGCCGCCAGGGTCCTCGAGGGGTCTGAGCGCGGGGCGGCACTGAGACTTGCGAGCCTGGGTGGAAGACATGGCCCGCTCTGGAAACCAGGGATCCAGAAACGTTGCCGTCTCACCCTCACTTCCGCCGCCTGCCGCCGCTCTGCCGCCGCCTTCCGCGGGGCCCGCCGCCGTTTTGCTTCCGCCGCCTTCCGCTGGTTGGTCGCCGTCTTCCGCCGAAGGCGAGGCTCGGCGACGACGAGGCCCTTTCTGGAGCACGACGCATGCCCAGACCCCCGGCGTCATGACTTTTCAACGGCGCGGACCCGCAGAGGTCTGGGCCCCATCCTGGGGACGGGCTTCCCATGCTGAACTTAATGTTTTGACAGTCCCGGGGCCCGGCAAAGGCCCCCCGTGGCCGAAAATTGTCAACACGGCCGCCCGCCACTGTTCCACGGGGGCCAGGGCATGCTCTCAATCTCTGCACTGGCTGTGGTGCATGGGCCGTGGCGCTTCCCCTCGCGAGCCTGCTGGTGACGGCATCTGGCCGGCGTGGGACAAAACCGGGGCCACGTCTGTGCTTGCGCGCGCGTCGCGAACGCAGCGCGCAAGGCAAAATCCCCACATAAGCATTACCCAGCGAGTCCTGCTTCTCCTCTTGTTCGTTGTCCTGGTAATGCTCTTATCTCTCTTTCTTTCTTTCTTTCTTTCTTTCTTTCTCTCTCTCTCTCTCTCTCTTTCTCAATTCTTTACATTCCTCTTCCTGGGCAGCGCATGGGCAAACATCTTCCTCCTCTTCCTCCTCGTACTAGCTCCTCTTTCTCATCTTCCTTTTCTGCTCGTCCTCTTCCTCTTTTTCCTTCTCTTCCTCCTCCTCCTCCTCGAGAACTACCAATGCCCCAAACCGCTACACTCTCGACATCCGAGACCAGTGTCCGGGAACATGAGCTCGCGGGGCTGGCTGTCTTCGAACAGCTCCTCGCCGCATGAAGGCTGAGCAGGGGTCTCTCCCAACACCTGTGAGGAAGGCAGGTAGGAGGAGGCGGGGGCAACGCTGCGGAGGAGGAGAGTGCCGATAATCAGGAGGAGGAGGAGGCAGATAAAACGAGAAAGTGGAGGAGGAGGAGGAGGAGGAGGAGGAAAAGGTGGAAAACCGAAAAGAGCGCTACCAAGGCACCAGCAGCCTTTGCCAACGGTAAGGGGTTCACGCTTCGAACTGTGACTGCCGGGCGGCCCGTTGGGGGACACCCGTGGGGCTGGGGCTCGGGGTACCGCCGCCCAGTGGGCCTCCAGAGCGAACGACGGGAGGAGAGGCGGGAGGAATAGCGAGAAGGCGTGAGGAGCAACGAAGAGGAGAGGACGAGGGTGAGTTGGCGCCGCAAGTGGAGCTCCCTCAAGGGGCGCGAGAGGTGTGGGGTGCACGCCAACGCGGGGGGTGGGAACGCATGCGAGCGCGCCCACCCAGAACATAGGTGGCGCTCCCGAAAGCGTGCGAAACACGTGGGGCGTGTGCTGGATCGGGGGTGGTAGCGGATGCGGCCGACCCCACTCAAGCCGAAGGTGGGGACGGCCACGCATGCGATCGCGCCAACTTAGGCCAGAAGTGGAGCCCCCATGAGGAGGAGGAGGATGATGATGAGGAGGAGGATGTGGAAGGAGACCCCAACATCCGATGTCGCGATTGTTTCACAGCGTAGCTCCCCCACGCAGGTCTGGACCACATCCCCGGGATGGGCTCTTCACCCAGAAGCGTTTCTGACGGTCCTCGGGCCTAGTGGGGACCACTGGATGCCAAAGACTGCTGGAAACCCTCCGTAGTTCTCTTCGCCCTGGGTTCGGCAAGTAAGAGATGACCTGGTGTCGGCTTCGATTCTAGAGGATGGGGACCTTGAGGACCTGGCGGGGAAATAACGCTTGTTCAAAAATGCTGACATCGCATCAGGATTTGCGGCACTGGATGTATCCCAGTTCCGATCACGCTGTTTCTCGACGATGATTGCGCCTCCAGGTTCTTCCAGGACGAATTTGAAAGAAGGTTGTTTTGGGAGCTCTGGAGGGTCCTGTGGTCCTGAGGCTGGGGGGTCGCTCCCTTTCACATGCGGTAGTCTGAAAGATTATGGTTGCGCCTGCACAGAAGCTTTCTCATCACGCAGTAAGCTGATGAATCACATGAGGCGGGTGCACGACATCCGCAACTTGGCTCACACCCTTGACCCGTCGAACTTGTGCATTGTCTGCCGTCAAGTCTTTGCCAGCACATCGAATGCGGGTCGCCACTTGCAGGGCTCTATGGAGAGAGACGGTGGCTACCATTCCGAAGTCTCTGGTCTGCCCTGCATGCCATTATGAAGGCTCGAGTCTGGACGACCTGTGTACCCACCTCACCTCCCACGTCCCCGTGCCGGTCGAACCCGTTGTCTCGACAGCTGGCCATGGGCAGCGGCGAGGGTCTGATGGAGCTCGAACGTCCTGCGTGGTTCAAGGGGATCAAGCGCAAGGCCGATGGGCGAGGGGGAGGGCGCAGACAGCAAGGACGACAAGGACATGGGGGCAGGCACGGGCAAGCCAAATACACACAAGCAAGAGGGCAAAGGCGCGCCGATGAAGCCCATCACGCTTATCGCACGGCTTCTCATGAGCGTGACCCGCGAGGTGGCCGAGCTTTCGTCGACGGTATTCGTGCGCTACGTCATTCTCGCTGGCGGCGGGCTCGCGTCGGCTCTCATGATGACGGGGAAAGCTTACGATCAAGAGAGCCAGCGCCTCCGACAGCTTAAGCAGAACTGCGAAACAGTCGATTTCAAATCCCGCGGACCACCTCACATCCAGATCGCAGCGGCAGCCGCTTGGTACGGGGCCGATCGGACCATCGCAATCGGAGGAGAAAAGCAGGTGAAGGAAGAAGAGATCAACAAGGACAAGTTCGCCGCCCTGTGGAACAATCACGTGAAAGGAGCCTCGGTCACCAACATGGCGCGCGCCATACCGTACTTCCGCCTCACGCTCCAAAAGAAAGCCGACGACGCGCCGCAGAAGGGCACCCTCCTGATGAGCTTCGCGTGGGAGCATGCGCTGGGGAAGGCAATGGGGGAGGCAATGGGGGAGCTACTGAGTTTGGAGGGGGCGAGCTATCTTCCAGGGCTGGCCCCGAAGGGGCCATTAGAGCGCGAGATCAGCAGACTGATCGGCTATGCAGAATGAGGGGGGCTCTCGGACGATCGGATCGGCTTCGTGGACTGATCGACAGAGAAGTGATTGCCCCTGATGCTCTAGGCACGTTACATAATCGAGTGCCAGCGTATGCGCATGAATCTTTTCCAAACACACCTGTCACTTTTCTGCCCCAGCAGCAGCCTTCTGAGGGAGGGGGACGGGGTCGTGGTCGTGGGAGTGGGCGGGGTCGTGGGCGGGGAAGGAGGAGAGAGGCTTGAAGCACCTCACGCCTCTCGAGCCCGCCTCTCCGAGCCTGCTGCGTTCGGGCCTGAGTGCGGGCCATGGGCCAGTGCTGCCTGGTGCAGAGCGCGGCGGAGGACCGCGCTACTTCTCGGTGGGTTTCGGGGGGGAACCATCTCAAAATCCTAACTTTGTCATGCAGTCAGCTCTAACTTTGCAGGTAATGCGATTCGAGGTGGCTTCGTTTGACAGGATTCCATGAGCTCATTCATTCATTCATTCCTCCTGCTACTACTCCTCTTCGTCCTCCTCCTCGTCCTCCGCCTCCTCCTCTTCCTCCTCCTCTTCCTCCTCCTCCTCCTCCTCCTCCTCCTCCTCTTCCACCTCCTCCTCCTCCTCCTCCTCCTCCTCCTCCTCCTCCTCCTCCTCCTCCCTTCCCTCATCCTCCTTCTCCACCTCCTCCTCCTCCTCGTCCGCTTCATCCTCCTCCACCTCCTCCTCCTCATCTTTTTTCTCCTCCTCCTCCTCCTCCTCAGCCTCCTCCTCCCCCCCCTCCTCCTCCCCCTCCTCTTCCTCCAACTCCTCCTCCTCCTCCTCCTCCTCCTCCTCCTCCTCCTCCTCCTCTCCTCCCCTCCCCCTTCTCCTCCTGCTCATCCTGCTCCTCCTGCTCCTCCTCCTCCTTCTCCTCCTCTTTCTCCTCCTCCTCCTCCTCCTCCTCCTCCTCCTCCTCCCCCTGCTCCTTTCCATCCCCCTCCTCCTTCTCCTCCTCTTTCTCCTCCTCCTCCTCCTCCTCCAACACGTGGCCTCTTTCTCTCCTCCTCCTCCTGCCCCGGGCGTCTCCGTCAGGCCCAAGACGTCCGCGCGCGTCCTGTTCTGGCCCCTCCTCTTCGGCCAGGCGGCGGGCCCGGAAAGGGGCAGGGGAAGGAGGAGGGAGAGAAACGAAAAGGGAGGAGGAGGAGGAGGAAGAGGTGGAGGAGGAGGAGGAGGAGGAGGAGGAGGAGAGAGGAGGAGGAGGAGGAGGAGGAGGAGGGGAGGAGAGAGGAGGAGATAGGAGGAGAGGAGGAGAAGAAGAGAGAGGAGTTGGAGGACGGCGGAGGAGGGGGGGAGGAGGAGGAGGAGGAGAAGGAGGAGGAGGAGGAGGAGGAGGAGGAGGAGGAGGAGGAGGAGGAGGAGGAGGAGGAGAGAATGAGGCAATGATCGAGAATGTGCATGTGCATCGCGAGTAAGAATGGATGATATGGAGTTCCTGCGGCCTGCGCAGCAACCGCGCACAGGGGCGTACTCGTGTTGCCAACCGGGGGGGGGAGCCAGCAGGGATCACCCTCGGGACGTCTTGGGTACGCCCGAGGGGCCCAAGGGCCCACCCACAAAACGTCCAAGGGCCCAGACAGGCCAGCGCCCATCAGTCCCACACCAGCTTCTCCAACAGGACGCGCACAGCAAGTCGGCCAATGAACAAAATTCGAGGATGAGGGCAATGGAGCCGCGGTGAACGTTCGGCGCCGCGATGCAAAGCTCCAGCAGGCGCACATGCTGGCGCACCTAGCACCTAGCCCACCATGGACGGCATCATCTTCAAGGCCGCGGTCATCGAAGACGCCGCTGCCTCGCCAGGCGCCCCAACCGGGGCCGCCACCACCTCCTGGCCGCGCCAACGCCCGCGCATCCCTGCAGCACCGCCGGCGGCGGCAGCGGCAGGACCTTCGCGGTGCAGGGCGTCGGTCCAAGAGTCGCCGAACTCCGCCCCAGCGGCGGCAGCAGGCGCAAGCAACTCGAGCGCCATGAGCTCGGCCGCCTTCTCCACCGCCTCCGCTATCACACCAGCTTCGCCCCGTTCTAGCACCTTGCGCCCAGAACGCGACTTGCGGCGGCGCCGACACCGCTCCCGCAACGCCGCCGAAGGAATGCGCTGACGAGGATCAGGGCATTGATCAGGAGCACCTCTAGCGGCAGCGACACGCGGCGGCAGCTCGGGTGCCTCAGCCTGCGCCAAGAGTGCGGCTGAGGCTGGCGACGGCGGCGGCGGTGCGGCGCGGGGCACACCCCAAGACGGCGCCGCGCACCGTCGCCTCCACCAGGGCAGCGGCGACGCGGGGCGGCGAACGAGCCCCGATAGGCGCGGCCATCACGCGGCCGCACCGTGCGGAGCGACGGGGCGGCGGGACGACGGCGGCGCCTTGCGATCGCTTGAGCCACACTGCGGGGAGAAGGAGGAGGAAGAGGAGGAGGATGAGGAAAAGGAGGAGGAGGAGGAAAAGGAGGAGGAGGAGGAGGAGGAGCAGGAGGAGGATGAGCCCCGTAGCCATGTTGGCTCAAGGCCGTGTGCGGGAACTCTATCCCGCGCGCTCGCCCCTGGCCCCTTGCCCCGCCCGCGCGACCGCCCTCGGGGGGCCAGCATCAGCGCGCCGCCACGCCATCGGAGGCGGGCGGCGCGCGTACCACGAGAAGGTCATCAACCACCACCACCACCACGAAGCCAGGCATCCGGAAGGACGCGTGGGCAGAAGAGCGCACGATTGGCGACATTGCATGAAAATGATCAGAGCGAGAACGCCCCACGACTGTGAAGCAGAAAAATAAAGCGCCCGACTGTGAAGCAGAGACGGGCAGCGAGGCATTACTCAGTGACAGAGAGAAACACGGAGCGCCTCACGACTGCGAGGCAGGAAAAGGAGCGCCCGACTGTGAAGCAGAGGATGGAGCGCCCGACTGTGAAGCACAAGACGGGCAGCGAGGCACGAAGAGGAGGAAGAGGAGGAGGAGGAGGAGGAGGAGGAGGAGGAGGAGGAGGAGGAGGAGGAGGAGGAGGAGGAGGAGGAGGAGAGAGAGAGGGGATACTGTCTATAATAAACCGAGATGGCCCATCGCTGCCGCGGCCGCCCACGCCTCTTCCGGGAAGCCCATTGCCTGGGAGAGCCGTCAGCGTTGCAGAGTATTGCTCTCGTATAACAAGATCCACTTGAATTTGCGATCTTGGTGTACAGTGCCACTTGTCTGTCAGATAATACGTCAGAAAGCGGCTTCGCACCGGCCTTGTCCAGGACGGCGGTGTTGGCGACCCTGGAAATAAACGACGGCGGAATACCCAATATCTTCTGGATGCATTTGCAGTGAAATGCGTCCAATCGCGCTCTCTCGGCTTTGAGCAACCATACTGAATCCAAAATCAACAACCATGACCACCAAATCAACAACAAGCGGGTGAACACCCGGGAGAGGTAACTGAACCGCGATTACAACATCAAGTACAAGTTGTTCAAACACAAAGCGGGCATCTTCAACATTACCTGAGAGCTGCGAAACTCACCCACTCTGGTGGAGACCAACCTGCAAGTGCGCCGAGATCATGAACGCATGGAGGGGCACGAGCGCGAACAGTCGCGGCCCCAAAACGAGTGGGGCAACACATCCGACATGATATACCACCTCGACCAGACGATATGCTTATCATTTCCAGGGACGCCCTCGCAAGGACTTCCATGTACAACAGAAAGTACGACACACAACACGGTACCACGTACAACATAAAGTACGACAACACAGAGTACGACACCAGCAACGACACGAACGTGCAGCCCAGCGGGGTTATAAAAAAACGTACCATCAAAAATACTGGTGGACCCCGGCTACGCCGCTTACGCCGACTACGACTATGACGCCTACAACTGGCACGGCGAGTACAATGGCTACGACGGACACGCCCCATACGTTCTCTTCAAGCAGAACTGCGAGAACCATGAGCAGACTTACCAGGGCAACCTGTTACGCGACGAAAGCCACCAGCAGAGGTACGAGGGAAAGAGGCAGAGCTCCGAGAGCCACTATCTTTGCTACGAGGGCCACCAGCAGCGCTTCGAGAACCACCAGCTGTGCTACGAGGGCCACCAGCAGATCTTCGAACACAACCAGCTGAGCGTCGAGGACCACCAACCGTTGCACCAGAGGGTCCTGCCGAACTGCCTGCGCGAGACCACTACGATCTCCTGCGCGGAATTTGCACCCGGAACGTCGAAGACCTCGTGGACAACGTCGAAACCTACGCGGTGGTAGCTGGCAGCGCAATGCTGTGTGCTGGACCCCGTTGCGCAAAAGGACGTGCAGGTGGACGTGCTCTTCAACTACGTTACCTCTTGAGCAAGGAGTACGAGCACGAAGAGGCCATCCAAGCTGCAGCGAAGACCAGCGGAGATCCGAGGACCCGCAGAGCTACCAGAACCCCCAAAATAACCTCCAGGACAAACATCCGTTCTACGAGGACAACAAACGCTTCAAGGCTACGAGGCCCACCAGCTGAGTCACGACGGCCAGCAGTTGAGTTAGAAGGGCCGCGAGCAGAGCTACGAGGACAATCAGTTAATCTACGGGAGCTACCAGCTGAGCTGCGAGGGCCACGAGCAAATCTTCTGGAGCCACCGACAGATCCACGAGGTCCATCCGCAAAGCCACCAGGGTCACAACGTGAGCTCCGAGGCCAACGGGCAGAGCTGCTACAGTCGCCAGCAGAGCTACCAAAGCCACCAGCACACCTTCGAGGACCACAAGCTGAGCTACGAGGACCACTGGCACAACTACGGGAACCACCCCAAGACCTACGAGAACCGCAAGCTCAGCTACGGGGGCCAAACGCAGGGCTACGTGGACCACCAGCTGACCCACGAGGTTTGCATGCTCAGCTACGAGGGCCACAAACGGTGCTACGAGGACCACCGGCTGAACCATAAGGGCCACAAGCTGAGCTACGAAGGCCGTAAGCAGAGCTACGAGGACCGCCAGCAGATCTCTGGAGGCGCCAGCTACAAGGGCCACCAGCGGACCTTCCACGACCACAAAGTGAGCTACAAAGGCAACAAGTAGAGCTACTACAACCACCAGCGCAGCACTCACGGCGACGAGCCGGACTGCAAGGGCCACGAGCAGACCTTCGAGAACCATCAGCCCCGCTGCGACAGCTACCTGCTGAGCTACGGGGGCAACAACCTGAGCTACGTGCGCCGCAAGCAGAAACACGGGAGCATCCCGCAGAGCTACTTGGACGACGAGCTGAACTTCAAAAGCCATGAGAACATGTTCGAAAGCCACCAAGTCAGCTACGAGGGCCGCAACCTGAGCTGCGCGGGCCAAAAGCATAACCTATTACAGAGCAGCCAGGGCGACGAGCTGAACTGCAAGGGCCACGATCATAACTTTGACAGCCACCAGCCCAGCCATGAGAGCCACCTGGTGAGCCAAGAGGGCCACAACCTGAACGACGTGGGCCACAGAAAGAACTGGTAGAGCCTCCCGCAGAGCTACCTGGGCGACGAGCTGAACTGCTAACGCCACGAGCAGAACGTCGAGAGCCACCAGCCCAGCTACGAGGACCACCTGTTGAGCTACGAGGGCCACGACCTGGGCTACGCGGGCCGCGAACAAAACTAAGAGAGCCTCCCGCAGAGCTACCATGACGGCGAGCTGAACAGCAGGGGCCAAGAGCATACCCTCGAGGGAAGAAAACACCGATCGTTGCTGGTGAAATCATACAGGGCAAGCCGGGCAACAAAAATCACTAAAACTGCGTCGTACTGGATACGCTCGAACAGACGCTACAAATCCGCTGGAGAGACGTATGGAGATGCAGCACGACGTCCCGAGGCGCGTTCCACCGCGGCGCGGGAACGAGGGCCACGTCGCCCGATCCTTCATTCGCAGGGAGCGAAAGACAATATTATACCAACTAATATGAAGCCACATTGGTACTCCCATATGCGGGGTACCTGATTGAGCACCGTACCTGCATCTGCTTCGCTGTCTCAACTCATACGATGCACTACAATACGCTGATGCAGACGACTTTCCCCAGAGTGGCCAACAACGTTACGCCGTCTACTGCGCTACGGACAGGAG